GCACGCACGCACCCACGCACCCACACACACACACCCACACACACACACACACACTTACACACACACACACACGCACACACACACACACCCACACCCACACCCACACCCACACCCACACCCACACACACACCCACCCACCCACCCACCCACGCGCACACGCGCACACGCGCACACGCGCACACGCGCACACGCGCACACACGCACACACGCGCACACGCGCACACACGCACACACGCACACACGCACACGCGCACACGCGCGCACATGCACACATGCACACGCACACGCACACGCCCACGCCCCCACACGCCCACACGCCCACACGCCCACACGCCCACACGCACACACGCACACACGCACACACGCACACGCACACGCACTCGCACACGCACACGCACACGCACACGCACACGCACACGCACACGCACACGCACACGCACACGCACACGCACACGCACACGCACACGCACACGCACACTCACTCGCACTCGCACTCGCACTCGCGCTCGCGCTCCCGCTCCCGCTCCCGCTCCCGCTCCCGCTCCCGCTCCCGCTCCCGCTCCCGCTCCCGCTCACGCTCACGGTCACGCTCACGCTCACGCTCACGCTCACGCTCACGCTCACGCTCACGCTCACCCTCACGCTCACGCTCACGCTCACACTCACACTCACACTCACACTCACACTCACACTCACACTCACACTCACACTCACACTCACACTCACACCCACACACACACACACCCACACACACACACACACCCACACCCACACCCACACACCCACCCACCCACTCACCCATTGCGGACCCAATGGATGTTTGCCAAACTGGGGCTGATTTTCAATCGTTTGGTGTCCACCGAACTTGGATGTGTCATTTCGCTGGTGTTCGTTTGGGGCTGGTTCCGAAAGGTCATCTTGCTGCTCGGTAGGCAATGTGTGTGGGAATGACCCCTATAAACCATCCAACTGGTGGTTGTTTTTTTTAGGGACCTCTGGGTTCATTCAACTTATTCCCAACCCACCGCATCAGCAAGTCATGTTGGGAAACGTCGCACCCTGTGCAGATAATGTGGCTTTCGGTCCTGCTCCGCGCTAGCGCGCTGGATGACGCCTTCGTGCGCCAGGAGAGGGTGGTAGATAGTCTCGGCACGCGGGAGTGTCTTCCTAAGGAGTCGGACCCCTGGTGGTTGTCCTTTTAGTTTTCCTTTAAAACTCACTTTTAAATCAACTTCATCTTAGATTGAGGGTTAGCTTGGCGCCGCCGTGGGCCGTGGAGGGGTACTTTAGGTTCTTGCTCAAGCTATGGAGTGCCTAAGAGGGGGTGGTCCAAGCAGGGGATTTCATAAGGCTTCCTAAGCAACGCCCTAGTGAACCATAAGGAAACCTAGGGCTCTCAACTACCCACCCCCCTTGTAGTTAGGGAATCCATAGTCAAGGGTCGCTATCCCTGGTGGTCTCGACAGAGGTTCTTTATTTGGGTGTGACTCAAAAAAAGGTTTCTTTTTGGATTCCATTCAGAACCAACACAACGTGGTACCCTCGAAAATAGAGACTCCGCCCATTTGGGGGCATCAACCTTGTCCAGGTTTCAGAGGTCCTCCACGTTTCGAAAGGTTAGAACGGCGCCTCATGGCCGGCTTCTGAAAAGGACCTTGATGTGAACTATGTGGCCGAGATGCTTGACAAGCTGCAGGCACTGGTGTCAAGTAGGGGTCCAACTAAACGTGAGGGGAGGGTGGTCTTCATGGCTGATTGGCAACGGATCTTTGGACTTTAACTTTTCGGGAACTCCATTGGACCCTGAAAACGTTGACGGGTCAACCGCAACTAAGAGGTAGCCTTTTGGTTTCCCAATCAACACCATAAACAAGGGGTCTCCAATTTTTGAACAGACCCCTGACAAAGCCTGTGCTGGAAGTTGACTTTTCGTTGGTTTTGCTCCACACCCAACCTTTACACGGATTTGCGCGTCTCCTCAGCTCAACTAGCCAAGCACGGGCACACGGGCAGAAATCCATCCTGTGCCTCCCACGCCACACCCCGGCAAATTCAGGCCAGCAGTCCTTGTAGCTTTCGCTAGTGACCGCTAGTGGACCTCGTGTTTTCTGAGAGGAAGTCAGGCTATCACAAAGGCTTCCGTGTTTGGTCAGGTCTCCTCCATAAAACTTTACATACTTAGTATAATTGCGCATCAATGACGATGTAGTTAATCACATGGTCATAGATGTGAATACATGTACACTTAGGTACCTAAATAGAACATGAGTAGCTACTATGGTTGTTCTTTCTCTACACTTTTTTCTCTGAGTTTCCGTAATGTTAACCAGGATTAGTCAACTTCTGGTTGATTTTGATTGGGGGGGTGTCCCCTTTTGGTGGGGATTCATACCATTTTTGGAGGGAACTCCCCCCTAATAATGGGACGGGTTCTACTTAGATCCTGGGTCAACATTGCATGGATATCATAGATGTGAATTCATATACAGTTAGGTACCTAAATAGAACATGCTACCATTGTTGTGCTTTCTCTCTCCGCGTTTTTTCGCTCCGAGAAGCCCCGGTCTGCGCTTGCCGTAGGGCGCATCGAGGCCTCAGTGAAGCAGCAGAGCTTCGTGTCGCACGAGCACTTCCAGGGCGAGCTGCGGCGCTTGCGGGGCGCCATCTCTCAGGCGGCCGCGCCTTGGAACAGCTCCCCGCATGGCTTCGCCCGGGTTCGGGTCCCAGCGAATCCTCCGGTTCCTGTTTTTTGTCTTTTTCTTTTTTTCTTCTTTGTTTTTCCCCTTTTTTTTAAACCTGGAGTCTGCATGACCCTTGAAAAATGGGGGTGATTACCCAAGATGAAGGGGTTATGACTCACCCTCTTTTTCTGGGGGTCATGGAGACTCTAAGATCTTTTTGGTGTTTGGCGGTTGGAGTCCCCCGAGCTTCTCCCACTAAAAGTTGAGCCTAGGTGGTTGGTCCGAATTCCAGGCAGTCAAACCTTGGGGGGATCTGAACACGGGCCCAGATCTCAAAGGGCGGGTCCCAGCGAATATCAGCGAATCTTCCGGTCCCTGGTTGTTTTATTCTGTATATTTTTCCTTAGTGAAAGGTGGTTGGAGTGCCTAATTTAACCCACAAGTCAAACCTTTAGCGGGGATCTGAGGACAGCCCAGTTCTTCTTTGAATGACGTTTTGAAGGAACTTCCGTACTAGTTTTTAAGACAGGATGCGCTGTGCGTGAAAACGCGGCTACAATGGTTTCCTTTTGAGGTGGTTTCCTCCTTTTGGTGGCTTGGTTGGTTTTCGGCTCAGTCGTTCTAAAATTCCGAACTTTGATCCCTGGAAGCTGCCAAGTTTTTAGATCTCTCCGTGCTGCATTTCCTTCGGCTTTCTTCGGCTCGGCTTTTCTATGAACCAACAGGGAACAGGACGCTCTCCTTTTGAAAACCTTGCTGGTGCTTAGTAGGGAATGACCCAGGGTGTTGGGAATGAACCTAAGATTCTCCTTGAAGGAAACCGCAATAGATGGTTTATAGAGGGTCATCCCTCATTCGCCGTCTATCGAACCAGCAAGAAACAAATGCTTTTCCGGCGTGGTTGCCTCCTCCTCTTGAAATCATCGAGAGCACTGGGGATGGATTGGGAGGTGTTTTTTGGTTGAGTCTTTCCCCGGTTCAAATCCGACAACATTTCTGGGGTTGATTCCGATTCCATTCTGTTCAACCATGGTTCTTGTCAGAAACCGATCGTTGCTTCCCCTAGGTGTTGGGGGCGGTTTTGTTGAAAAGATTCGGATCCCTGGAAAGAACAGGGCAGGGGAAGCTTCCCCCCATCCGCACTGCCGGTTCTGCAGCAGGGACTTCCTTGGCGCTGGACCCCAGGTCTGGTGAGGGGCCCCAGAAAGTCGCCGACAGCGCAGAACATATGGGCAATTTCCCTGGCCAGTGGGCGGTTTCAACACTTTGCGGTTCAACATGTGGGTATGGGTCAAAATTACACCAATACATGGACCCAGAATTGTTTTAGTCTACTTTTCCATTTTCCAGGGCAACCCATTTTTGGGTTACCCTATTTTGACAACCGCAGCAATGTTTAAACAACCAACAGGTTTTGATTGAGAACAATCACTCGGCCGGATTCCCGAGGATTCCGCCAACCTGAAGCTCTTAGAAGACACGCTCGAGCAGACGGAACGAGAAAAGCAGCTTGTCAGGTACCAATTGGTTGGTGGTCCCACCTTTTGAAACCACCTGGATCGCCAGTTGCTTTTTTTTTTCCCCATGCACTTTACCCCAAAAACCAGCAACAGTGACTGAACAAAACCCGCAACTTGGCTATCTAGGCAGAAGGTGCCCCCGAAGTCGTCCACAGCACCAAACCATCCACCAACTGGAGGTTAGGTGAGCTTCAGCGTTGGGTGCACCGCAAGACATGGCAAGCGGTTGCTGTGATGCGAAGTTTCCTCCAACTTCGGGCTTCATGTCAAAGCAGCGGTTGCTTGTTCTTAGCCGAGTGTTTTGTCGAGTGCTGTGAAGTGAGAGTCCTTGCAACGCGGCGCCGGTTCGCAGGGAGGCGAAAACGCGTGGGTGTGGGTACTTGGCGGCTGGCGTTTGGTTGTATATCTTCTTTTTTTTGAAAATTAAGAAATGTTTATTATTTTTATGTATTATTTGATTTCGTCTTCTTATTACGAACGAGACTTATAGGGAAATTAAGTTGCCATCAGGATGGAGGCAGAGGCGGCGAATTTGGAAGCGATGCAGTACTACCACACGGTGCGCGCCGCCTTTGGATCCCAAGGCGGCCGAACAAAACTCCGTATCCGCGGCTGGGAACTCATGCTGGAGCCTTTGAACCCAGCTAAGGTGGGTCCAATAGGTGTAGAGAGCCAAGTTGATTCAGGTTTTTTCAAGTTGTTCCACATAGAAAGCAGCCAAAACCAGCCAGGGTTTTGGGTACCTTCTTTGCCCACACATGGGTTGGCTCACTTGGATTTTGCTATCTCTTGCGCTGTTTAGTTGAGAGTTGCTCGCAAAGAATACAAACAGCAGGAGTGTCAAAACTGTAAAGATGATGAAAAGTATCCAAAGCCGGAAACATGGTAAGAGTAAAAGTGGTAGTAGTGGTAGTAGTGGTAGTAGTATCTAGCAGTAGTAGAAGTATGGTGGTAGTAGTAGTAGTAGTAGAAGTAGTAGAGGTAGTAGTAGAGGTAGTAGTAGTAGTAGTAGTAGTAGTAGTAGTAGTAGTAGTAGTAGTAGTAGTAGTAGTAGTAGGAGTAGTAGTAGTAGTAGTAGCAGTAGTAGCAGTAGTAGCAGTACCAGCAGCAGCAGCTGCTGCTGCTGCCGCCGCTGGTGCTGCTGGTTTTCGTGCTTGTGCTTGTCGTGGTGACGGTCGTTGTCGCGGTCGTCGCGGTCGTCGCAGTCGTTCTCCGGCAGCCCGGCAGGGGGTGCCCCGAGCTGCGACTTCTTGACCTGCGGGCGCCACGCGGTGTGCAGGCTCCCGCCTCAGCCGGAAGCTTGCGGCAGCCTTTTGCGACGCTGTCCCTTGGATTTTGTTTTGACGTCCGTTAATGTTTCCCTTGGTTTCATGCAACAGTTTCTGGCTTCACAACTGGATTGTGGATTAGGTCCGTCCAACACTCCTTTCTTGAGCCATTCAAGAGTGCAGCCTCTACCAAGTGCTGGTTTGGCATCAAAGCCAGCACTGACTCATTGGCTTCCGTAAAAAGGACTCGCGACAAGGATTCAGAGACATGCCCCTTGACGCTTGCAAACTGGGGAGCGGAAAAAAACAACCTGGGCAGAAGGGCAAGGGCAAAAGCTCGCTGGGTCACGGGCATGGTTGCTCATAGGGCTTGTGACTCCAAGCAACCCCAAGCAATCAGATTTGACCAGGGCTATCAAGCCAGAAGGATGTTTGAAAAAACCAGCCATCTGGCTCCTTAGCTTCTTATCATTTTATGGTTTAGTGGTTGGGTTTCCGAATTTAACCCACAAGTTAAACTTTTAGCATGGGATCAGAAAACGGACAGCCCAGAAAAGAGGTGTTCCCAAGAACTTAAAGAGCCTTGCCATGCTGGGCGACTGAGGTCGAGCAAGAGCCAGAGGGCCTTCTGCGAATGCGCTGCTCGACCTTTTGGGAAACCCAAACCGGTCTAATCTGGGTGAATTATAACGACCTCACACGACCTCACCCCAAATGGTGGTTTATGTGGGGAATAGCCCCTCAAGCACCTTATCTCAGATTGGTGAAATATTGTAATTCACACAGTCTAATCCATTTTGAGTTTCAGTCACAGTGCCCCCCTTTGGTGGCCGTGTCTTGTTCCCATTGGTTTTCAGGTGGCCGTTTCGCGGGGAGGTGTCGACGTGTCGACGGGTTGCAATTTCTGGACAAGCTGCAGCCTTCTTCCCGCACAGATGCATGCATAATAACAATTGCCCACAGCGCAAAGTCCCATAGCCTTTGGCTATGAATCCCTCTCGCACCGCAGACGAACGGCCTGACTGGGACAGAAAACCTAGGACTGCGAGTGGGTCACACTCCGCTTCGGTGGCTGTTAATCACTTGAACAATCCGACGCTTGGAAATGCTCCGAAAGATGCCTTGGGTTGTCCCACCAACCAAAATCATGCACCTTTCTCGGATGGCTGGGGTGAAATGCCATCACCGGAAGTCTTCAAGATTGGATGTTGGCAAAAAGGTATCATGCTGGGTGGCAGTGTGATTGAAACCTGAGGATCACTGGTTTAGATGCTGGTTCTTTGTTCTTGTCCGAAACGCAGCAGTCAGAGCCCCCGAAATGCTACAGCTCCTTTGGACAAGTGTACCACGTGGCTGACAGTGGAAAGGACGAATCACAACCCCAAGCCAAACCAGCGCAACAGAGGTCGCAGAAGTTTAGGATTGATTCCCGGCCCGGCATGGAAGCCGACGGCCCAAATTAAAATTCCTTACTCTTTGCTAAAACAGCCAAAACACGGCTGATGGTTTGGCTCAGAAACAGACAGCCACGCGAGTGGATGGAGACCCATCCGCATTTCCAGGAAGCAATATATTCACGTTTTGGAAGCCATCCTTTTTCTTATTTTGGCAATTCATTTTACTCCAAACATGTCTTCCAAAGTGATGGACATAAATCCAACTGCTCGTTTCTATCCACAAAAAGGGTCTGACCCTTCCAGATAGAGCCAACCAAATGAGCCAAAGTTTGTTTTGGAGGGTACCCAAAAAACTTCCCCAGAATTAGCTCCCCTTTTTGCTTTTTTGCTTTTTTGGGGTTCCCATTTCCACTAACCAGGCAAACAATATATTTTTTGCTGGGGTCCTAATTCCAGCCAAGAAAAGTGTTGCCTTGAACTTGGATGCCAACGGGGAACCAAAGATTTGGAGGGGGCTCCCCCAAAAATGACACCCATATTCCATGTGGGTGTGTCTCTTTTTAGGAGTCGGAGCCTCAGAATGGTGGTGTTCCTTTTGGTTTTCCCTTAAAGCCTAGGGGTGCCCGCAAAAAGAGACAGACCTCCCTCCCTCCCTCCCTCCCTCCCTCCCTCCCTCCTCCCTCCCTCCCTCCCTCCCTCCCTCCCTCCCTCCCTCCCCTCCCTCCCTCCTCCCCTCCCTCCCTCCCTCCCTCCTCCCTCCCTCCCCTCCCTCCCTCCCTCCCTCCCTCCCCCCCCTCCCCTCCCCTCCCCTCCCTCCCTCCCCTCCTCCCTCCCCTCCCCTCCCCTCCCTCCCCCTCCCCCTCCCCTCCCCTCCCTCCCCCCCCTCCCCTCCCTCCCTCCCTCCCTCCCCAGGCTCTGTTTTTGTTTGTTCCATGGAGCCCTAAGGAGCCGTGCTTCAGCGGAGATGGCTTCACCTGTCGACCTTCCAAGTGCACCGCTGAGACCTTCTATTCCTCTCAGACACTCGGAGCTGAACAACACGCACGTCTCTTTTCAAGTTGATACGGGTGGCTTGTCTTCTTTCAGGATATGTGTATATACGAGTGGATTCCTTGTTTTGAGGAACCGGATCTGACCAAATCGCCGATTTTGTTTTGTTTTCGTCGCTGTTTTGGGTGCTTTTGCTTCGGGCGGCGCTGCCTTTTCCAGGCCGGTGGTGCCCTGGTCGCGGTCCGGGTTGAAGCCGGACCCCGTGAGCGCCGCTGCGGTCAGCCTGCGGCCTCAAGGGTGGTGGTGGCGGGTGGGGGGGGGGACGAAGACGGAGACTAGGTCCCCCAGCTATGTTCCCTTTCTCACCCACTTTTTTGAGGGGGGTGAGGGTTCCCCTACTAACATAGACTACAGAACAAAGGTTCTAACCTCTCTACTGGAGGACCTGGGAGATGACAAAAAACCAATCCAGCTGGTGGTGTCCTTTATTCGGGAATCCCAAAGCGGTTAAAATTCCCTCATTCCCTACTGAGCACCAGCAAGAAAACAACAAATCGAGTCGAAGGGTTGGTTGGTGGCTCGTCGTTTTTTTCGGGGAGCAAAAATGTCAGTGTTGCCTTTTGGAGTTGTTTTCTCTTCTTTTTTTTTAGGGAGACCAAAGGAAAGCGTCACACTCCTTGAGGGCTCCCTTTTGAGACAAACCCAAGCGAGTCATGTGGGATTGGTTACCATGCCGTTGGAGTCCAATTTCCGAGACCGACTCAGTAGGAAAGCTGGAAAGGCCAACAGAAAGGAGGGGAAGTCCCGTGAAAGTTTTTTTGTTATTGGGGGGAAGGAATTCAACAAGCAGCACTACCCTCGCTGCTTCAGTTTGGGTCGCGTCAGGTGGTTGGTGGCCGGTGTGGTTTTTTGATGTTTGTTGTCTGCCGGTGTCTTTTCGAGGCGACGTCCACACGTATCCGTTTCCAGGGCACAGGGCAAGGGTCCTCCCTTAGCCACGAAGAACCCCATTTCGGTGCCCATTTCAAAGGCACCCATTCGACCGCAACCAACTGAAGGGGTTGCTTAGGCTGTGTTTAGCAAATGCCTCGGTCGGGAGTGCTTTTCGAGGTTTGGGTGTTTTGGGGGTCTGCCGGGTGTTTTTTGGGTCCGAAACCCAACCAACTGAAGGGGTTGCTTCGGGGTTGTTGATGCCAGCTGGTGCATGTTGATGGGATTTTTGAACTCACTTGATTGAAAGACGCATTTTGGGTCCCAATTGAATTATCTTTCAACATCAAAGGGCTTCCTTGTGAAAGCGTCTTTCAAGCAACATGTTTCGGAGCTTTCAAAGTTGTTACCCTCCTGTCCACTAACATGGACCCCACCAGAGGGTCCCTCTTAAAGTAAGACAGTCTTCCGGGACCCCGAAACGTCAGCTCCCATGTGAGTGGACAGGAGGGAATCCGTTTGCTTGAACTCCCCGAACTTCGTCCAACTCTAAGACCGCCTGTTCCAGCCAAATGGTGGTTGCTCTTTTTGGTTTCCCCATTAAAACATTAAGAAGGGTACCCACAAAAAAGACAGATCCATTTGGTGCGAGGTTGACCTGATCGCACGAACAAATTCAAGCCCTTCACTTGACCTTTGATTTCCTTTGACATGTGTGTCACCCTTGAGCGAGGAAGAATCACCTGACCCGGCTGCGTCGTCCTTTTTCAGGGTACCCCTGTGGGTTGGTTTTAAATGGAAACAAACAGGACCTTTTGGGAGGTCCCCGAAAAACGACGCACCAACCTTTTGGTCGCGAACGACACATTTGTGTTTCTGCGGGCGGTGATGTTTCGAGGGGAGATCTAGCAGCCTGTGAGTCACCTCGAGGTTCCGATTGGATCTGCATGTCGTTGGCTTAATGCAGGGGAACCGGTCACTTGGCGGTTTTCTCAATTGGTGGGCTAGGTCCCGCAGCTAGGTGCCCTGTTACCCTTTTTTAGGGGAGGCTTCCCCTACTAAAATAGGTTCCCCTGCCAAAATAGACAAAACTGAAAGAAGTTGGTACCCTTATTCTAACCTCCAAAACTGGAGGACCTAGTGGGGTTTCTTTGGTCACTCTCAGCTTGACACCAGGCCCAGGCTCGAACGTTGGTGACTAAGACGCTGGGTCTTTAGCAGCATGCCCCATGGAAGTCCTGCGCTAAGCTGTTGCTTTTTGTAGGGTTTTCGTGCAACACCGACAAGGGCGGCTCGTCTTTTTGGAGGTGGTACCCTTTTTTTGTGGTGGGTTTAAAGGACAACCAACAGGAAACACAAATCCATTTTGGGGGCGCAACCTTAAAAAAGGGCACCCCCAAACCCAAATCCATTTTGGTGGTCCCCAAGAAGAAGACGCGCCCCCCGCAATACACCAACTCGAAAACCGACAGCGTGTGGCCCCATGAGAGGGAGGCTCCAGCTCGCTCCTTCGCCCAGGCATTGCGCTGCTGGGTGAAGGCAGTGGCCCGGTGCGAAAGGCTTCTGCCGATGGCTTATCGGTCGCTTTTGTTGGATCAAGGAAATGTGGGGGGCCACAAGGAGGGGGTACCGAGTAACGCTCACGAAAGCAGAAACGCGCAGTGTGAGGAAAAAATAGAACGGTGATCTGAGGTAGCCACTCGCGCGGGTCTGGTGTACCCCCAATTCCAAAGTAGAGACGAATTCACGTTTCGCGGGGGCGCACTCTGCTGTTTAAACGTAACCCCAAAAAAGACGCAAGTTTTTGCAATTTGTTCATCAAAATTTTGCGCTTATGAAGCGGCAGATGTCTTTCTTTTGGTGGGCCGGTGTGTAGAGTTACGTGCAGCTTGCGGCTTAGTTGCACCTTGGTTTCAAGAGATCAGTCTCTTGCTGGCGTGATTTGAGTGCCTATGCTGTCCGGGTTCCTGCTGGAGGTTGCATTTTGTTGTGGAAGCCTTTGCTTACAAGCCCAGCACACCAAATGCGGAAGCTGCCTTTTTCGAGGCTTGAGAAACATACCAAGCACCATGCGAAGACGCTGATGGCACCGTTGCCTTGACACGTGTGCAGTTTCAAAACAACTCGGGACAGTCTTAGGCCAGCTGGCCAGCCTACTTCCCTCGTGCTCTTGAGACATGGCGCCTTAGCGTCGCCAGCTGAGGTGTAGCAGTGGCCATCCAAGATGAGACCCTGGGCATGACATTAGTCAAACTGGCTACCTAGATCGCCACGTTGCTTTTTTTTTCCAGTCACTGTTGCTGGCTTTTGGGGTAAAGTGCAGCTGCATGCACAGCTAACGTTGACACCAGACCCCCTGTTTTTTCATATGGGGGGTGTCCCTGGTTCTAGTGGGGGCAAACCGCAGGTTTTAGTCTTGAAAGTCCCATTTGCCAAGGTGTCATTTCGGGTAACATGGCCATGGGTCAAAATCCAGTACCCCCAGTGAACATCCCAATCCCCACTATAGACTAAAATGGGTGGTGCACCTAAACGGTTACCCCAAAATGGTACCAAAACGGTTTTGACCCACAGCCACATGTGGTAACATTTTAGGGTTTGATTCCCCGTTCTTTCCAGCATCGTTCTGTCCAAAAACGGATCCGGGGTTTCCTTGAAGGTTTCTAGAAAGAAGAATGATCCCTGGAAAGAATGGAAATGAGAAGTACCCCTAGAAAAATGACGGAAATCCACCTGAATTCCCTCTTTAAGCCGGTAAAAAGTTGAAACCAAGAGAAACCAAACCATTCCTACTGTGGATGGACAAAAATCCTGCACCACTTTGAAACATGGGAAACCATTTGTTTGTTGGCATCTGCAGGGGAATCGACTCATTCCGAATCTGAACGCTGGTGCGAAATGGATTGCGCAACCATCCACAGTAGAAGCATGTCTTCTTGCGCCACAGCAGCTCTTGTTTTCAAGGCTCTGAGTCAACCAGGGGAGGTCATTTCGCGGGAAACTTTTCCCCCACGGATCGATCAAGATCTCTCCGAGGCTGCGTGGCGGCCAGGGGTTTTTGTCCGTGGGCCACGCAGCCCAGTTGCAGCCAGTTGGGGGCGTTTGTTGTTTTTTTGCTCGGTCCCCCAGCTAGGTTCCCTTTCTCACCCACTTTTTTGAGGGGGGTGAGGGTTCCCCTGCTAAAATGGACTACAGGAAAAATTGGGTACCCTGATTCGAACCTTTCTACTGGAGGAACTAGTTTGTTTTTTCGGCTTGAATTGGTTTTTGTTGGGCAACAGAGGCTGCTGAAACCTTTGGGCTTCCAATGATGTTGGTGTTTGGTCTTCTTGCTGGTGCGAGCGATGCCTTGGGAATCAGAAATGGAATGACAAGATGAGCCATCCAACTGGTGGTTTCCTTTGAGGGAATCGATTCCCTTCCAGTTCTGGGTCATTCCCCATTGAGCACCAGGAAATCTCCTGAACAGCTTTGGGTAAGTCTTAAAATCGTTGGTCCCCCAATGGGTGTGTTTCCCTTTGGTGTTCCTTCAAAACCAACTCCCCAAAAAAGAGAGAGAGAGAGAGAGAGCGCCCCTTTCGTTGCGCTTGCCGTGCGGGGTGAAGTTCTGGGAGCAGTAAAGGCAGTGAAACACTCTCTGTGTCCAGAGGAGGCAAGACATTGAAACTCCAATTTGCTCTGGAATATGTTTTTATGTTCGCCTGTTGGTTGTAA